GTCTCAGTGAACACACTGTAATTGGCAATTGAAATGTACTGGTAACGAAATTAACTAACTGGCAACTAAATTAACTAACTGGCAACTAAATTAACTGACTGGCAACTAAATTAACTGACTGGCAACTAAATTAACTAACTGGCAACTAAATTAACTAACTGGCAATAAAAGAATCGTGAGCAGCAGCTTTTATGCAAAGGCAGACTCCGTACGCTAATGTACGGGGATACGCTAACATATGGGGATACAGTACGGGGATATGCTAACGTACGGGAATACAGTAACGTACGGGGATATGCTAACGTACGGGATACGCTATACGCTACAATAGGATCGTCCGGTTAGTCCCTCGACGCCTACCACCTCGTCGGTAAGCCACCGGCCCATTGCTCACACTAATACTTGTCGTAATGTCAATTTAGCTCTTATAAATATTTGTAGTCTCGGAAATAAGGTTCAGGATATTCACAAACTCTTGCACGATCATAAAATTCACATTCTATCCATTAACGAGACACACCTAGACAGCAGCATTCCCGATTCTCTGTTACACGTTTCTGGCTACACATTGTATCGACAAGACAGAGATCTACATGGCGGAGGAGTATGCAGGTATGTGCAGGCGTCTCTTGTTTCCTCTCCCGCCCCCTACGCAATGTATACCGGGAGTGGAGTGCATATTTGTACGTGTTCGCATACCGTCTTCCAAACCCAAATCCAACGAGCTGGTCGTGTGCAGCGTGTACCGTCCACCCAACGCAAGGGTCGAGTTCTGGGAACTCTTCGGCCTTCAACTCGACAACATTCTACGTCAGTTTCCGAACATTATTGTCCTCGGTGACCTGAACACGGATGTTCTGCAGCCTCGCAGTGCACAGTACAAACATCTCCGTAATATGTGCTGCGAGTTTGATCTCGGGAATGTTGTCACTGCTCCCACTCCTCATGGGCAGACCTGCATCGATTTGGTACTTGTTTCCATTGGAGTCCAGCTTACACAGACAGCAGTGCACCCTGTGGACGGTGTCAGCAACACCTAGTTATAAGCCACCTAACATATCCAACCATGTCTACCTGTCCACTCTACACGAATATCAGGAAGCCGAGCGCCACAGAAATAGACCGGGACGCTCTATGCCGAACCGTGGACGAACAACTGACGTCATGCCCCCTTGCAACAGATGTAAATATCTTGGCGAACAGCCTAACAGCCGTCCTCACGTCAACTTATGACAAACTCTGCCCCGTCCGTCGCATCTGCGTACCATCCTTCAGCAAACCCAAACCTCAACCCTGGCTAACTCCTCACCTGCGATATCTTTTACAGCAGCGTAAACTCTTGCACAGAAAGGTTCGGTCATGTCCCTCTGATCAACAACTAATGCAACGGTACCGGGCAGTGAGAAGGGAAGGGACACTGCTGAACAGCCGCCTGAAGTCGGAGTTCCTAATGCAACAGTTGAGAAACATGAAGCGTGACCCCAGAGGCCAGTGGTGTCTCTTAAATAAGCTCTCTGGTCGAGCCACCACGAAATTCACCCCTGCAGCGCCACTTCCAGCACTCACTGCAACATTTGCGGCAGTTGTCCACGACCCAGCCAGGCCAGAAGTGTTGCAGATACCAGCCGACAGGGATCCGACAGCACCTAGAAGATGATAATCGGAAGAAAATAATGCATCAGCGGGGTGAAATGCATCACTATGTTGACCATGGTGGAGAGCGGCGAGATAAACTAGCAAAAGAGGCGAGCGAGCCAACAACGTGGCGTGACATTTAACATGGTCTATGAACTGTCTGTTATATTATGCTATCGGCCTACATGCGCTTCCCGGGCTGGTCGACAGGCGGGCCATCCAGCCTGCTAGTGGGATCTCAGTCTTGCACACAAATCCAAACAAAACCTGTTGTGCGTTAACATGTCAAGCGGGCTGGCCCAGTGGCAGGATCCCGCCCCAAGTAGCCCTTTCCCAAAGGTGATCTTTTAATTCGCACTTAGTGCTTTTTGCGTCCCTCAAAATATGCTGAAAAAGTGCTCTTTTTCAGTCAAGGTTAGCCATGATACATTTTCAGATATGAACCCAACCTGAGAAATAAATACGCACTCTCCATTTATGTAAAAGAGAAAAGGACATATGGATACGAGTTAAGAGTAACTCTCCATCACTGTAACATGATACTATATACAGTATTGCACTTTCTGACTGTATATAGTATCATGTTACAGTGATGGAGAATTACTCTTAACTCGTATCCATATGTCCTTTTTCTCTTTTACATTTATTTATGGCTCAACATCCGAGTCTCCATTTATGGGTCGACGAAAGGCAAAACAGGAAGTAAAGTTCCGCATGCATGAGCAAACAGATTTTAGCACTTTTTCAGCTAAAAAAAGCTGAAAAAGGGTGATATTCACCAACATCGCAATAAAGGGCGAAAGAAACGGGCTTTTCCAAAAAGGGCCAAAAAGGGCGAAAAAAGGGCGAGCACCTATGGGAAAGGGCTAGCCCCAAGGCACGCGGGATCCCAGCTTTTGCTCCCCCGATACACTTTTGTCTGGGTTCATGAAAAGGGCCATGCGTGCAAGTCAGCTCGTTTGAAGTGCATGGTTTTGTATTTACCGGTACATGTAGTTGGTATGTGACAGCTTATGGAGACGAGGTTGTGTATGTAAATCATTAGTCGGACAGTGGTCTGCTCTCGATATAACAACTCTCACTTGTACACTGTACTTATGGACCCTGGCTCGCACCAGACGTTACTGCATCATCGCCCTGCATGCCCTGCATGCAGGGCCCCTATACACTTCGCATGCATATAAGTTTTCGTGGCCGTTCTGGAGTCGACGGGATCTCTCTTCCAAATTATGTTTTTGCTGACGCATCCTATCACCCTATTCGGCAACTAACGTCCATTCTAATTGCATGTCCTCGTCGTCTCCCCATTTCTTTCCATAAAATCTCCCTATATATCAGGGAGTCGTATACATAATACGACGAATATTGTGGCCAGCTGTTTGTGGCCAGCTGTGTTTGATGGAACGGTACGGTACAGGACAGATACGGGAGCCAGAAAATATTTTTGTCCAGCTGTTTGTGGCCAGCTGTGTTCGATGGTACAGTACGGTACGGGACAGATACGGGATAGCGCCAGGCGTGACACAAACAAACCAACAAACAAATAAACCAATACTAAATTAAAGCTGTGTGGACCCTGGCTAGCGCCAGACGTTACTGAAGTAACGTCTTCTGTATAGCTATGGGAATTAAATATGCACTGGTTGAGGAATGCAAAGAGAAATGTTCACACCTTCCTGTGACTCTATTTCTACTACTAAATCCTAGTTCAGGTCCGACGCATCGCTGACGGTACGGGATATAAGAGCCTGTCGGGGCGCCTGGGTGAGCTGTAAAATCGTTTATAACTCCCTTAGTATTGACTCCCATAGATTTTTGCTATACCTAAGCAGTCAAATATTCCTGCATATTTCACTCCTTAAGGCTATATTGACTGCTGATGTTTGACTGCTTAGGGGTGGCGCAGTTGAACGCTGCCTAGCGCAGCATTGTCACTGCATGAGAAGGCGGTGGTGCAACAAACGGTTGTGCAATCATAAAACCGGGATTCAAGAGGTTATCGTTCTGGAATTTGAAATACTGACTGTTTGTCGTGATAAATCTACGGTAATATTGACTTCGTACTTGGTCAGTATAGGAAATATAAACCTTGTAAAAGACCTCGGCTTCGCCGCTCGGTCTTTTACTCGGCTTTTATTTCCTATATTGACCTCGTACTCAGTCAATATTAGATACGTATGATTCGTAGGACACGATGTGCAGCAGTCCTTGCGTTGTTCTATATTCTGTTAACCTCCTGCTGGTTTTTGGGTGCTGTTGGCACTGAGTGGTTGTTTTTTTGCTGAATCGTCAGTCTTCGCATTATCACCAGCCTCACATACATCTCTAGCTACCGTTTGCCGGGGCACAAAGCCTACATGTTGCACGTGATGTGCTGTCGGAACTTGCCAGGATTGTGCATGCGTGAAAAGCAAAAGGAAATGTAAGAATTGCATACCAAGCGGAATTCCACACAGCATGAATATATCTACTGATTCCTCTATAGAGACACATATTTGGGCCCAAGAATGCGCAAAAATCAGTGTAAAATCAGTGAAAATCAGTGTAAATCTCAATTAGTCTGCACGATTGAGCATGGCTTGTTTTAGGACCAGTCAAGGATCACAAGAATTAGTGCAGGGCGATATACAAGAGTAGATGAAGCCTCTTTTACTGGCAAAAGAAACACAGTGGATGAAAATGCAATGCAAATTTAATGCAAATTTAATGCAACCCCAAAAAACCCAGAAAAGGACAAATGGAACCCAAAGGAAAAGAAAAAAACAGTGTGTGATGTACCTATAGAATATAGGAATGGAAGAGTGGTAAATGGAGATATGGTGTTAGTTCAACCCATTTCAGTCAACATCTACCTCTCTTCTCTGATGAGTTTCCAACATCATAATGGACCGAAACAAGGGTTGTCAGTAGCAACCTCCAGCTGTTGTGGAGTGTAACTGCTGCGGTGTTTGTGCTGGTGTCTGCAAGCGTTGACTGTTTTCGTCTGGCAATAAGAAAAATCTAGCACCTCGATTTTTAACCCGGATGTTAAACTCAGCTGGAAGGCTGTTGGTTGGCGCACTGAAAGTGTGTGAGAGCTAGGTCTCAGGCCGTTGAATCTCTCAGCGCCATGTCAGTGTAGTGGCCTGTTCTCGCACTTTCTGACTGCTTGTTATCTTGTCACAGTCGTGGATAAGAGGTTGGTGTGACTTCGGCCTACTCAAGCTCAACTGGTGAGGGTTGAATTCCCAGAAACACTGTGTATTGAGCAGGGAGCCGCGGGTAGTTGCTTCGTAACTCGTTTTCATGTTATTTCTTCTGTTTATAAACTATGATGTTTATTCTCACTTTTGCTGTTTGGTTTTAATGCTTGACTACAGTTACTACACCATCGCCACTCCGTTATTGTGATCCATCCAGTTCAGTAATTGTTAGATCCAGCACCGAAATAAATTACAAGTCTGCACAGCAACTCTGCAAGGTGTACAATGGAACAATTATCTCAGATCAGTCATTCTTTGATGGATGTTCGCATCGAGTTGCAACCAAAGACATTATAGCGTGGAGGGGAGTGGCAACATTGTCGGGATATGCACATGTAACAATAGCAGGATTCGACGACCCGCAGCCCATAGATCAAAATCGTTACGCTATATGTGAAATACGTAAGTTGTAATTTGCCGGCAAAGATCATCAATAAGAGCAATCCCTTTGAAAACTGTGTGTATGTTTAAATCTGTATCGCACTTGCCATGACTTAAAGTGACATTAAGGTAGTCGGAGACGCGTTTACGATCTTCTCCAATACCTTGGAGGCAAGTGGCAACAGATTTATTGGACAGTAGTTTGTACCTGATGGTTTGTCTCCAGATTTGAATAGAGGGCACATGTGTGTGTTCTTGTGTGTTGTGGGAAAAGCACAAGAGAGAAGCGATTAGTTGATGATTGACGTTAGCGGTGCTGCAATACACGCCTCACAGGACCTTAACATGCACAGAAGAATGCCATCCGAATCTGCAGACTTGTAGGAGTTGAGATTGGTCAGTATGTTCATAACTGTGTCCGCATTCACTGAGGTGAACATGAGTGGTGCATGCGGTGGGCACATGCAGCCCATGTGTCTCCAAAGCAACAAGACATGCTTTATGGTTGTGTGAAAGTCATGCAGAGTGAAACCCAACAGCGTCGATTTTACGTATGAAAATATCGTGCAGTTTCTACTTTAGTTTCCTACGTAATGACGTAGAGCAAAAACTCCATATTGGTTCGTTTCCGGCAGAATGTTAAGCCAAAAATGACTTCTGTACCCTTCAATTTAGTGCGGCACTGAAAGTTAGTACTTTGGGAGAAATGAATTTAGTCAATTTGGTTTTCAGCATAATACAAAATGTTAGCCGCAATCAGCGAAAACGACCCTTATAGATTTTGTAATTTTTCGAGAAAATGGTCAATTTGTGATGTTCAACGATGTTCAGCGCGACGACTTCTTTTACTCCTTGCCTGAAGTAATTTATTTTGAAGTTGAAGTGGTGTCGAGCGGCGACTCCAGTGTTCCTTGATCTTGTTACGTTGGCTGCGGAAGCCAGAGCAGTTCGCAGAGCACACACGGCAGTCATTGTGTACAGCTAGCTCGAGCCTGGTGGGGAGTGGATGCTGAAGAAGCCGCTGAAGTTCGGAGTGAGGATTAGACGTTATTAATTTTGGTTCCGACATCGATGTCAACAGCGAGGCGGAATCATAGCCGTCATCTCCTGCTGCGATGCGGCTCAAGGTGGCCGATGACTCGTCAGAGTCGGAAGATGACGAGTCGTCACCTGAGATAAATTCTGAGTCTGGGGCTAGTGACGGCAGCTGCGGAGGAAGAAATGGAAGACGAGATTGCGGAACGACTCCACGCAGGATGCAGCTGCGAATATGTCGATCATTTCTCCGCACTCATCAGCTATTCATTGTCATTATAGCTCCTTACTGCACTATTTGAAAAGTATTCAAGCTGCCCACCCGTGCACCCACCTTCGAATGCTGAATATTCATTGAAGACGTACACTGTACATCAATCACATACATTGCACGAATTTGGAGTACATCTTGTATATTGGTGTGTACACGCGTTTAGAGTCGGAATATTGAACTTTTTCTTGGCTGAGGTCCTTCAGTAGATGTGTTTCAACAAATTTCTAACCAAAAGGAATTTTGAACATTTTGACCCTAAGGGCTGTTTTCGCTGGTTGGGGCCCATGTATTGAATCCCTTTTCACGTTATGTCTTTCACCAAAAAATCGTTTTATTCACACTTATTTCATGTCGCCTTCTTTTCTTCCTATTTTCAAGGTTGTCTTCCCCGACGATATGACCAGACGAAACCTCAAACACTGCATAGCGATATCACGTGCCGATACGACGGTGAGTGCCGAAATGCTGGACCTGTTGAAATGTGTATTTTAGGACATTCAAGGACATTCAGTATTATACTACTATTACACTATGGAGCTCGCGCTATTCCGCCGACTTGACTTGACACTTGGATGACTCACCACTGCCATCCAGAGAACACGAGAAGTACATCCAACCTTCGACTGGGCAAACCTGCAAGAATGCAAAACTCTCTCCTCTATAAACAGTGTTTCACCCATTCCTAAAAATATCATCGTCGAAGTCGCAACCACTATTTCGTAAACTACTCACATTTTGAAATATACAAATAACCTATGTGGAGATAATAATTTTAATATAGCTATGAATAGGATGAAGGCCGCAGACATCACGCAACTACGTTACTTGTTTGACAGGTATTACATTAGTACTTAACTTCAGTTTCTTTGGTTGTATCCTTAGTTCCGTTTTTTCCCACTGATGATAGGAACGAGAAAATCGATTCTAGGTTTTCAATAATATTTTTGTTATAAAATACACAGTAATACATGTCAAACAAGTAACGTAGTTGCGTGATGTCTGCGGCCTTCATCCTATTCATAGCTATTTTGGAATATGAGAAGAGAAATAAAACGTAACGTTTGAAAACATTTATCAAAACAATGGTGCTATAACAGTAAAGCCTAGTTCGCACTCAATGGGGCGCAACGGGAGGCGACGTAACGATCAACGGGAAGCGACAGGACAGTCTGGCGGCGCCCAATGTGAACACCAGGAACGGGAATGCAACTGTACTGCAGTACGGATTGGGAAGCGATGGCAAGAGTTGGTTCGATTCAACTTTTCATTCCGTAGACAGGCGTATGCGGGGACGCTAGCGTACAAAACAGCCGCATTTTGAGTGTGAACAGGAGACGCCGTCGTGCGCCGACTACTCCAGATTCGTACTTGGAAATGTTTAGCATTTCAAACACTGCACTTTCAATGATAACTCGCAGAATGGCTAAGGAAGCGTTTGTTTGGTACAATCTAGAACAGGATCGCACAGCTGGTGCACATGGAGCAGCCTCATGCCAACCAAACGGTACTCCAAAAACAAAGCAAATTTTGGTGAAAAATATGCCAAACTTGGTGCATTCTTCAAAATTTGTATGGGTCACCATGATCACTGTGTACGGTACGACGAGTCCAACCCAAAAGCGTATGCACGTGATCATTTTGGACCAAAATCAATGTTCCCGCCAGGTTTCACTGTGAAACAGTGAAACTGCTCGGTCTGCTGCGGCCTCGACACCGGAGCAAGCAGAACATGGTCTGGCCGACCCAGAACTGGTGCAGTCCCAACCCAACGCTCTGTTCTGGTGAATCCTGTTCTAATTCTTACCAACCAAACGCGCCGTCACACGACTTGAGTTGAATTTTTGCAAGATAAGGTCTGATGTCACGTATGGTATTTTTAAAAGGAATAGTTCAGGAGCGTGACCGACGAACTATTTTATCATTTCCTGGAGCTATTATTTGAATGGCACACCTTTCGAAGCTACTGTTTTGATGTTCATGAAAAACTGGTATTGTGAACTTGATTCCGCTTCATTCAAGGATAAATAGTTGAAAAGAAGTCCTGAAAAACAAGAAACTGGGTCCAAAAGTCACCCTGTCATGGACTGTGCCTTATGACTGGCGCTGTTCGCTGTGGATCGACGCAACGACTGTTGTTGTCACTATTATTATTTAGGAATGCGAAAGTTCGAAAGAAAATTCGAGTCTGGGAATGAGTACAGAAAAAAAGGTGGAAACTTCGAAAACTTGGACGCGAAGTTGCAGTGATTTGCGAAAGTAACTTTCTCTTTTCTCGGTACGCATTTGACTACAGGGAGTAGTAGTTTTACAGCCCCCTGCTTGAGACTGAGCTGCATATACGGTACGGTACTATAACTTACTATAAGATACAAATAACTTCGAGAAAAAGTCATTTCGCATTGCTAAACCTCACAAATTTTCTTTTTCGAAACAGATTTTCGCGAAATATCACCACCACGAAAAGTTCGAATTTTCGCATTGCTAAACGTCCTTAATTTCCGTCGAGTTTTGTGAAGTGCTGAACTTGATAATTTTCCACCTTGTCACGAGTGTTGTTATCTCATTATCTTTACGCTTTACTCAATCTGCGGACAGCATGCTGTTTCGTTCTTTGTGAACTCATCAACGCAGCACAGAGGAAATGAGGCCGAACCTGATAGCATTGGAAATAAAAATTTCCAATCAGGCCCGAACGTACCTTGCCAGAGTGCTCAAACTGACAAGTCAGTGAGCTCTGCGTAATGCAAACAGCAAAGGCACTACCCCACATGAGAGTGCTCAACTACTACAAGAGCAGGAGCGAAAATATTCAATCTGCGGACAGCATGCTGTTTCGTTCTTTGTGAACTCATCAGCGCAGCACAGAGGAAATGAGGCGTAAGCTGATAAGTTTTAGTCTTTCTTGAGCCAGAACTTGAGCCATTCCCTGTATAATCAATGATGAGAAGGGCCAGAAAACGTTCGGATGCTTTGACAAGTGCCTTATTTCGATTGGATGTGTGTTTGCGTGGATACTTATGACCCAAAACGTACCTTCGTTAGTATTATTTGCCTCCGACCTCTTGTAATAATTATTATTATCATAATTTCCCTCAAACCAGTTAATATTATCATAATATTATCATTATTCTCGTAGCCGTCACGAATTGGACTCACAACGCATGTCTGTGTGAGAGTAGGAAAACGAAATGAAAAAGAAGAGAAGATTCTTGTTATAAAGGTCAAATTTAACATAACCGAATTTGAAAATTAGAGTGCATTCTACAATATGGAGAATTCAAGCGACTTGTAAGGCTAATATTAATGTTAAACTTTGTCACGTCGAATTCTACGTACTAGTTATATTTTCCAAATCAAAAGTGAATTTCAAAAATTTTCCCCTAAGGTCCATTTACGGAGATCATGACTCATTTGTCTTTTTAAAGCGTTAAAACTTTTTGAGGCCAATCACATCAGAAAGATTCACTTATGGTCAGTAACGTAAAATCCCGTCAAAGCGCCCCTACCTCCGCCACCAAGAGTACATAAACCAGAGCGTGCAACTAAGCATATCAGATCTGAAACAGCGCAGTTCGTGCACTACGTCACCCTGATGAGGTCAGCCAAGCCGCGACTTGCGTACAGCTCAAATTTTCATGTTTCATAGCCCGGAAATCAGCAAAATTTGCTTGGTTTTAGACATCCAGTTTCAGTATTTCGGTGTTTTGTGTGACTGTGTACGCTGCGTACATCCACCGACAAGTAAAGTCACCAGGCTATCCGTATCAAAAAACCGAAATCAGGACAAACTCAGTGACCTGCACCACCGCGACTGGTTACGCAACCTTTCACCGTACCTGTGGCTTACCATGCTGTCAGAAATGACGTAGTGCACGAATTACGCTCCCACAGGATCCATCCTGAGTTGCACACTCTGGTTTATGTACTGTAAGACATGTATATATAACGAGGAAGCAAATCTAACGTTTTAACGGATGACATTTCTTCGTTATAATAAGATCCGTTGAGGCCGTACTGCTTCATATATGCTGTGTGTGGATATGGCAGAATACTGCAAGATCGTTAACATATCTTCTCGTTAACCTATGAATTTTGGACAATCGTTAAATTTGCGACTCGTTATAATAACATGTCTTACAGTACTCTTGCCGCCACCCTTCGAGTAGGTCCGCGGGGGGGGGGGGGGGGGGTGGGGGGGGGGGGGGGGAGGGGCGGATGGGCGAGTCCTATTTACCTCATTCAGTACTACATGAAAAAGTACTTGCCATATGAAAACTGTTTGTGCATCTCGTACACCAACCAAAGGTCAAGAGCCAGGGGTCATACAGACCCACCAAAACTCTGGGTTTCTGCGATCCCTGGTGAAGAGGGTGGGCATTGTTGCATACATTCCAATCGGGTCCAGCACTCGACTGCAGTACAGTACGACATCACAGAGTCATACGAGGATACAATCAATCACTTCCTTGAATTCAGGGAGGGGTGCATTGGAATGACTGGGAAGCTCTGGCCAGATTTTACGGTACCACGTTGAAATGACTATATTAGCAATCCTTCGAGGAAGAAGACGACAGCAATGCCCTTGTGCTCGCGATTATTCTGTTCACGAGTTCACGAGAGCAAAAGGGTCGGTTGTTGAAAGGTGAATCAATTCAAAGGGGGGAAAAATTAAAACTTCCCGGCATTTTCAAGAGATCACAATGCATACTAGTACTTTGACGTGTTCAACGTTTATCCAGCACCGTGTGAACTGGATCACTGTTTGCAAGTGATATCTTGGTCAAAGGTGTGAATGTTTTTGAACGTCATGTGAATGGCCAAGTGCGAATATATTCTTTTTCTGCTTCCACAGGCCGTAACCCAGGGAGCTTTAATGTCTCTTTCAGAAGAAAAAAATGGAAAAAAGTTAAGCCACTGTAGCTCTCAAGGAATTGTCATGACAATGTAAAATTGCACCAACTACGCTGATATGCCCAACAAGGTTCAATGGGTTGTATTGATGTTGTCTGTTTGTTGCTCGGTTTTTGTTGTTGTTCATGACGACAGAACTGATCATGGACCACAATACATGCCAACTATCAAAGAGCATAGTGAGAGTCAGCCTTGTCGGCCTCATAACGAGCTACACTACAGCGCAAGCAATCTGTAGCTTTTACAATGGAACAATCCTTTCAGATGCCTCATATCACGAAAGGTGCTCGGTCGGTTTGACCACCACAGATATCATCGCATGGAGAAGAGCACAGGATGGGAGTATGTCTATGTTCAATACAATTGGAGGCATCAATAGACTCACGCTTCTATACGTTGTTTGCGAAATACGTAAGTCCAACTTAAACTTGCTTCAAATGAGCCGTGACAAATAATAATTGAACCAATAGTAATAATAGAAAGAGTGTGTTGCTCCCTACATGGGAGTTCGCGGTTTTCCTGCAGACTTGAATTCTCACTTGACTCACTCACGACTGCCATCCAGAGCACATGAGAAGTCCATCGAACCGTCCACTCGGCAAACCTGCAAGAAAGCACCACTCCCTGCTCAATACACAGTGTTTCGGGGAATTCACCCCTCATCAGTTGAGCTTCAGTCGCCGAAGTCGTTTCAGTGGCCGAAGTCACACAAACCTCTTCTTCACAATAGTAATACTGTGAAGAGAAAAGGATCTATAAGGAGACTTGCACTTCGTACCCTTACTCAAAAAGGTTTTGCTGCAGGGGGCGTTTGCCATTTTTGGGCTCCGCTGGTATTCAGTGCATCTTGCAGTTTTGCCCCTCAGGTGCTAGCTTAGCATGATGGACACAAATGTATGTGGTGATATCACAGTAGATGCTCAGTTTGGTGGTCCAGACCCCGTGCGCAGAGATTCTTTCCGTCAGTGTTGCTCAGCATGTGCAAGTCATTTTTTTCTAAATCCTCGAAGAAATGGAAAAGGATCGTAGTCTTTCCGCCGATCGAAAGAAAAGATTAAATAGTAAAATCGACGACCTGACCTGAATTACTAGCAGGGGTGGGCGGAGAGAAAGAATATGATGAGCAGGTGAGAAATAATAACAATGTGAGACTCAGAGAGGGTGAAGTGTAAGGAGTACGCGCATGGGTATGAGGGGGTGGTGGGGGGTGGGGGGGGGGGGTATGTGTGCGTGAATGCTAAGGGACTAGTCTAAGTTTTGTGACATCTTCTTTCTGTATGCATAGCTTGGGGTTATATTTGCGAATGAAAACAGCTTTCAATACTTGAAGTTCACTAAACCTACGAGCACGGCACAGAACTGTGAAACAAGTGCCATCATAAACTGAAGGACACTGACTGTTGGACAACAGGCGTTTCATTATACTCCTTGCACTTCACCCTCTCCGAGTCTCGCATTTTTATTATTTCTCATGAGAATTTACTTGACTTCGAGAACGCTTACGCAGATTGCACTTTTATCGCTCTCAATCAACAAGATACTGATGCTAAAACAAAGCCCTCTCCATCATTACTCTTCAGAGAATATCATCACAAGTAGAATAATATCTCTCTTCAACGCACAGCGGTTTCCGCAGAGGCAGGTCAACGGCGGATGTGGTCTGGAGCCACCGTTGGTATGCTGCAGCCTGTCAGAAATACAAGAAGCAATTGGTGGTCCTCGGCATTGACATGTCAAAGGCATTTGACTGCATCCGCAGAGACCGTCTACTGGCAGTTCTCAATTCCTTCCTGGACGAGGACGAGATCCGTCTCATCCGTGTCCTACTAGCCAACACGTCCTTCTGTGTACGCATCGGCACAGCAACATCCGAGTCCGCCCACACCACTATCGGGACGCCCCAGGGCAATTCCTTGTCCCCTGTTCTATTTGTAGTATATCTCGAGGCAGCTTTGCGGGATGTAAGGAGCACTGCTATTGCCAGGGCTCGGCCATCATCGGATCTCGGCTTGCCATTTGAAATTGCGTACGCCGACGACGCGGATTTCATCAGCACAGAGTCTGGCTGGTTGGGTGACCTGGTGTCGGTTATCGGTGACGTCCTCAACGGATGGGCTCTGAAGGTAAACCCGGATAAAACAGAAATTACCGTTCTGGGCCGATCCCTGGACAGGGTGGCGGAACAGTGGCGCACCACCAAGAAGCTCAGCTCACTCCTCGGGGATAGCGAGGATGTCTCTCGGAGGGAACAACTAGCCGCTGCAGCATTTCGATCGCTCTGGTCACTATGGAGCCGGCGCAGTACCGTTGGAGAAGAACTGAGGCTTCGTCTCTACAATGCGTTTGTACTACCAGTGCTAGTATACAACGCCGGCACATGGGGACTCACGGCAGCTGCCGAGGGTGGACTCTACGCATTCCACCGCGGCCAGCTCCGTTCACTGATCGGCTTTGTCTGGCCGCAGAAGATCGCGACAACAGCACTCTACGACAGGTGCAAGGCAGAGCCGATCAGCCGGATCATCACCAGAGCTCGGTGGAGGCTATTTGGCCATATCCTTCGACTTCCCAGTGATGCCCCCGCCGTCCTAAACATGGTCAGCTACTTTCAATGTGATGACCACAAGTGGAGAGGCCGCCCTCGCATCACCCTGCCGGTGAAGCTCGACGACGACCTCCAAAGAGCTGCGTGCGGGCGATTGCAGAGCCTGGAAGATTTGGAGCGCCTATCAGACGTAGCTGCAGTTCGAAGCGAATGGAGGCAGCTACTGGATATGATCTGCAAGTAGAGGTTGCGGCGATGAAACCGCGCCGTCACCTTTTTCCCAGATCACGGAAATATCGCTCAATACACTTTAAACATTCTATACACAAATGATTTACAGCTACGTTTGTGCTTGTTGTCTTTATGTCTCCTATATCAACTGCTTCTCTTACCATGTCCAGCATAAGCGAACGTGTGGACTGTGTTTGTGCATGGGCGACTTGCACTTGCACTGTTGACGCTGCCGCGGGAATGCATATAATAATAATAATAATAAAATGAGCCCCGGCCAGCGAAAACCAGCACTTGTGTACTTGATATCAATCATCAAAATGTGACGTCAAAGTTTGGGACGGCCAGTGAGCTGGCTTTTGAAGATTCTTTTTCGATCGAGTGGGTGTCTTTGTTGTCAAAGGAGTTTCAAGTGTCTTCAAATGTCTCTGGTCAATTGATTTTAGCGCCAGGTGAGAGCTCGTCACAGAGAGGTTGAGTTTCGACACAGCGATGGCGACAGGTGTCGCGACAAGGACTTAGGTCCAGAGTTGTCAGCGTGAGACTCCCTGTACGAAGCGGCGCTGAAAGTTATTTCGCGATCGGAATTATTTCTTTGATGGCGGTCTCGCTGAGTTTGTTCAGCAGTGGCGAGTCTCATATGCATAGCAACGAAGAGCCCTCATAAAATCGACACTGGGTACTGGTGGCGACGATAGTCAGTGCTGGAGTAATAGCGACTGCGAGGAGAAGCTGAATGTCGACCCGCTGAGCGATCCGTATTTCTACATCGACAACAATGATGTTGCAGACACTGATGGAGGGCTTCTCACGGCGCAAAACAGAGTGTAGTATTATCAGTACTCTACCTTGCCAGACGACGCCAAGCTGGCTGCTGCCTGTGCTGTGAAAAGGGATCCCTAAAAAGTCAAACCGGCTGAACGCTTTGGGGCAACATCTTCACGTGCTACAAAACGCGAGTATTCGCTCGTATCATTGAAATACAATTATGCTGAAATCATGGTCTGAGTGAAAGTGTGCAAGGGAGTGGATGTCAGTGGTATCGGTCAGTTTATATATCAGTATGGCAAGCTTTGGGACAACGCTCAAACTGCCACCACAGAGGTCCCTGAACACAATTTGGAAGGCCAGCCACCAATCATCGTTTTGCACTCCGGTGTTGTAAAGAAGGTAATGGTGTATACGGAATATCGTCACACTTCTGAACAACTCATGCCTGCAGCACCAAGAGGGCAAGCCTGACTTGCATTCTATTTACTTACATGTACCTGTTCCACATCACAATCAGAAACTGTAGGATCTACTTGCATGGAGTCACTAGGCATGGATGCTGCGCCAACTGTACCGAATCTTGACCTGTGTGACTTCAAACTCTATTTTCCATGCTTTCGCTTATCAGATTGTCACCAAACTTGATAACTTGAATGATTAATAGTGTAGAATCAATTTCGAGCGAAAAAATAATTTTTGAAAAAATTACACATGTTCAGGTTTCTGTTGGCTGGGGCTCAAATAGTAAATGAATCATTTTTTTTCGTTATTCTGTGCACAGCGCTGTACTGTAACGTACCTGTCATTGTCAATGGCACTGCTGACAGAACCATGGTCCGATTCACACGCAGTGTTACCTATTCATGCCAAGAGGGTCAGGTGATCGTGGGTGATGCCACACCAAATTGCATGGCTGATGGAAATCTCACTTCAGTGCCCTACTGTGATGGTAAGGGTTTGGATGGATAACAAAGTTAATAGTGAAAAAGAGTTATAAATTTATAATACTCCAAGTATGAACTTTTTTCTTGAGTTCCGGAGAGTTTGAGGTAGGAAGAATACCCTCACTAGAACAGTCAAACCTAGGGATAATTTCCATCCTTCTTCTTTTTCTTCTCTTGACCTTATGTCCAGTTCTCAATTGCAGTGTACCTACTATACAGTTTGGAATGATGAATTCTAGTGTTGAAATGATCTCACCGGATACTCGTTAGCTCGCTCGCCAGAAGCCAGAAACTCGGCTCGTTTGTGCGGCCAGCTCGTTTGCACTGACGAACACCGTACACCGTACTCCGTACACATGGCAGTACATGTCGACCGGGGAGTCGTAAAATATTTTACGACTCCCTGGTCGATCGAGAGTCCAGTCCCGCACAAAGTGAAAATCACTCGCAGTTGCAGTGACTGTATGCCTGCACGACACTTTGAGTTGTTTCAGTTGTCGTTGCAGCTTTGGTGGGCTCTACTGATGTTCCGCATCTGCTGACCTGTCGCAGGATATGCTTCGGTCACCTCCATTCGAGTGAAAGTTACGCTCAGTCGTTGGGAAGTTTTCTCCCGCGATGCAGCGAAGACCAGGGCTGCTTCCCATCTTTGCAAAACCGTCTTTTCTTTCAAAGGCTGCTCAAAGACGGCGCTGAAAAGACATCTCGACACAAAACCACAGTCCGAAGTGAAGCAGCAGCAACCCCAAATGCCGGCGGTGATAATTTGAACCATC